GAAATACGCATTCAATAGATGTATATATCTTATTGGATACATTGTATGTTAAAATTTAATGAATATACAAAATGAATGACTTTGACTACTATTTAATTATTGGTAATATATATTTATTTAGTCTTTTATGTTTTATTTCAAATAGTTAAGAACCGCCATATGAGTTATAATTTGGTTTTAATTGTGCAAATTGTGATGCAGTCCCTGTATCATTTGACCTTTTCAGTCAAATATTTCAAAACTTTCAAACAGATGTACAAAGACACTCCAGTTAAATAAATAAATCAACTTACCGAAAAAGAAAAAGAAAGTGAAAAAACAGTTTGTCACGCGAGGTCTGACGTCATAATATAGATGACAGAGGTCAGTTCGTTCACAACATATGTCCTTGTAAAATGCATCATTCTGCCAGTGCAATTGCGGATATCTTATTTGATTGTAGGTTTCAAACGACCCTGCTCTCCTGCCCCAAAATATTAAACTGCCGGTCCATAAATCGTATGTGCATGTCTAAACAAAATTGTATACGAATAAAAGATAGAGTTTGGAACATTAAAAAACAGTGACAGATTTGAGAAGGAAAACAAGTTATTCTGTCAACAATTAAGAACTACTTGAAAATGGATTCCTTGTAACTAATTAAACTATCTGATGTTGTATTTATCATTACATATCAATTGGTTAGACGCAGGTGTCTTAATTAAATCATTTTGATCGCTTACACAACATGAACAAAAGTTTTTACATACTGATCAGATGTCAAATTACTTATCTTATAACTGTCCTAAAATGTATTGCGAAAAACTGTTGATTTTCTGCAATATCTCTAGTTTGTTGAAGTTATACAGTAATGGGTAAAGGTTAATTTAATGCTATGATGAATGACGTTGAACAGAAGATTTGAGAAATACCTTTCCATGTGGTGCAAAAGGACCTCCACATGTATGTCTTACAGGAGCAGTCAATACTCTATTTGCCCAGTCGATTGTCCGCCAACCAAACCGTCCGTCGAAAGAGAGGAAGAATGATATGCACGGACATTGTGGCATGCTGGCCAATTGTTGTCTATAATAATCACGATTTTTTAGTTCTCCCTGATGCCAGTTTGTACACATAGCTTGATAGTTAGGACCTAGTCCGTCTGGTGGTGTAAGTTCAAACGTTGTTGCTCCTTGATACACTATTGGAAAAGAAAAGAGTAATAATATTAAAGTTTACTTCTAAAGTAATATTTTGTAGTTAAAAGAGCCGAAACTGCTAATATTACTTTGATTTACTTATATTTTATTTTTCATCGTTACTGATAAATTTTTACCGTCCTTTGAATATATTTGTCGCAAGTTTTGGAAGACAAAACGATAAGAATAATTTAGCGATAGATACAAGCTTAATGTTGTGTTCTATCTGTCAAAGTAGAATTATGTCTCAAAGTGATTAGGTATTTACAATTAAATTTTTCAAATAACAATATAGAACATGGAAACAAATTTGGTTAACTAGTGTTGTCAGGACTATTAAACTTTATTAAGTTTATAACATAAATATTTCAAACCAGATAGGGCGTTACATACAGTTTTCTTATTTTATGAAGATATTAAACTGCTGATTGATTTTGAAAAAAATATTTGTCAAGCAATACCTATAATCTAAGCGTGTTAACCAATTACCTAATCATTTACCTTAAATTCATAACACATAAATAATATACAGATGTTCAATACATGTACACTATGTAATTTGTTCAGTCGTTTCATTCTATACTTATTTTCCTACTCTCATAAATACATTTACGATACCTATGGTTGAAGTTTCAAGAATTAGATTGATGTCTGCTTGACGTAAATAAGAACCATCAGAACTGTCATCTAGACCATCAGCATGACCATTGACCAATAGTCCGATAAACTGCATATTTGAGACAGACTTCATAGAACCTCCCTCGTAGAAATAGAACGAGTAGGCAACTTCTCCGTCTGTCACGTAAATTACTTGGAAAGTGACCGTCTGAAATAACCAATAACATACGTGTATAACATTGAATAATACATTAGGTAATCTTCTAATATCATGCACCGTCAAAGTCGACTTCTATCCATTTTACCACAAATGAGGTTAAAAATAAAGGATTTGCAATTTTTTTTACCAAAGTACTTTATATAAAAAACGTATGAAGCATTTAGAATGTACATTTATGAGAAATGTACAACATCAGTTTACAATTAAACTTTAAAATCAAGTTTTTACAACTATATTTCTTCATTAACATTGTACGTTAAATCACTGATCAAAACAGTAACAGTAATTATTGTAATACGTGAAGAGAAAATTGATACGTTAAAGAGATAATGAATTTCTTTAAATTTGTTTTAATCTTTATATATAGAAACTATATTTAATATGTACCTCGTGCCTAGTTCCACCATATAAAGGGACCTCCTTCCAAGTTGCTTTGAAAATGAAAATCGGTGTTATGTGTACAGAGTATGTTTCATTTACAAGATTCTTCATGGATTCTCTGATACTTTCAGCGTCTGATGACATGGTATATGCCTGGTACCACACTGAACCCGAACTTCTCAAATCCAAATCTGTGAAGTAGGGAGCCAGACAATAAATACCAACTAAATCAGGTGTGTATTGTCTGTTTGCTGGAACTGTGTAACTTTGATAACGTCTGTTGAAACACACGAGCCCATTAGCACATACCTGAAATATCAAATACAAAAAATACACGCAACATTATTCAACCCTTGTTTTATTCGTACACCAATAACTTGGAACAGTTACGTAAGTTTTATTCTTGCAGCTCCAAGTTCGATTCCCTGCTATCTAAGATGAAACATTTAGCGGTTTTCTTATAAGACTTTGGCCACTGTCTCATTGTTACGTGGACATGCTTTATAATTTCGTGTTATATAACATAAAGTTTGAAATGGAAAGGCCTGACTTGAACGTTTCTTTGAAAGTATTAAATGACAATCCTAAATGAATTGTCAGAATGTGCTCTACTAGCGGTGGCCATGCTTACAAGTTGGCCTACATCCTTGCGCTTCAATATTGGAATTTTACCCCTTTAAATTGGGACTCTTTATTATTATAAGTCGAAAAAATCCTTTTTTTAAGGGTATTACACAAAGATACCGGAGGCACTTTCACCACCGTCAGTGTAATTCTCGGAGACAACTTACGTAGATCGTTCTATATCTTGCCCGACTGAACGGGACAGCAAAGGACGGTCGTACTAAAGCGTTACATCCGTCATCTGTTCCAGTCATACTGTCGTCTCCTTCTTCCTCACCATGTCTCAAATACAAACCTGATACAGTCAAAATATAAACCTTATGAAATTATCTAAAAACAAACTTGATATATAGCCAAATATAAGACTGGTGTATATTACTCAAATACAAACATGATATTACCAAAATAGAAACCCAATGTATTTAACTCAAATAACAACCTGATAAGTTCAAAATAGAAACTTTATGTATATAACTCAAATACAAATCTGATATAGACAAAATATAAACCTTATGCATATAACTCAAATACAAACCTGATATAGACAAAATATAAACCTTATGTATATAACTCGAATACAAATCTGATATAGACAAAATATAAGCCTTATGTAAATAACTCAAATACAAATCTGATATAGACAAAATATAAAGCTAATACAGTGTATAATTTGAATTCAAACACGTGTAACTAAATGCAATTTTGACATAAAATACATACATGATTAAATAGATAAAAAATTAGCACATGAATAAGTAAAAAATAAGCCATATACCTTATACAACTAAAATACATTCGCATACAATTAAATGAAATTCTGCCATTAACCCATTACTTCATGAGCATTTTGTGAAAAATGGCTGTTTTCATTGAAAAGTCTCCAGTTACAAGTTCAAATTGCTATAATACTATAAAAACTGCTTCAACACTAATCAAACTTGGCACAAATGTTGACTGGACCATTGCCCTTGCAAAAACATGCTCAGGCTTAAATTTTCTGTTACCATGGCAACGAGGGGACATCTCAAAATTGCTAAAAATCACTATTTTGCGTTGATTTTTTCCATCATTATTGATTTCAAAGTGCTGCAACTTCTCAATGGATTGAGATAGAGTCAAATGCTTTTCAGCGTTGGTTACACATTACCTTATGATCAATCTGAGGTCATTTATAGCCTCTCACAAGTCCAAAATTTTCTTTTTTTAACAACATTTCTCAAACAAAAACAAGTGTTGGGTGCCTAAATAAGGCATTTTTTCACCATTTGAGACAACAAAAAGGGGGGGGGGGGTGAAAAAGGCGTTAAAAGGCGTGTATATGAAGTAATGGGTTAAACATACGTATTTGGAGTTTTAACAAAATTCTTTTACTAATGAGCATTCGTTAATAATCATGTTGATTTACAGGAAATTCAACTTACTTTTTAAAAGCCCTTCATTGATAATTGTATTTTTTTTTGTTATTTATTTCAATTTATCCGTTTCGAAACTTTTGTACAATAAATGAAAAATAGTTGTATATTTTAATAAGTAAATATGAAAAATTGTTAAATCTTAAAATAACAAGCTACATTGAAATTCGGTCTGACTGAGGGGTTAGAGCGTGCATAATACAGACATTGGACTTAATAGCGTATTATATACTCTGATAATAGAAGGTACATGGTAGTATACCGGGCATACAGACTGTAAAAGATAGACCCGTTCTAGAAATTTCAAACATTTTTAAAGAACGTTGCTAACGTAACATTTCTAGGAAAGAATGACTGTTTACGAGATTATCTACACTAATCAACAGGGCCAAGTACAATATTCGTACAAAGCAAAACCTTTGGAATAATGGAAGACTTTCAAAAGATAGGAACCGCATCTGCCCAGCAAACATACCTATATCGGGCCGATATCGGCTATATGATGGAATATCTGTGTCGGCTACCATATATCGGACCGATGTCTATCCGATATTGACATATTTCACTGATATAGGTCCGACATCGGTCCGATTTATATTCGTTTGACATGATTTAAGTTTTATCATGGTAACGTTTTTTAGCATACAGGACCATGAAACCGGGAAAAAATTTCCGAATTTTAACGCATTTAACCATTGAACGGATATTTATCGCAATTTGCACAATGGTAAATAGTTACCTACGCACCGTACATCCGGGCACGCTTACATTTGGCGCAAAACTCAACAAGGGACAAAAGTTCGAATATTTATAATCGCTGGGTAATTTAGCATTTTATAATACCTTTTTGATAAAATATCATTAACATAATTGATATACTGGTTGAGTGCTATTGAAATTTTGAAAAATAAATAAAAAATATATGGACAAGATGGCTTTGATTTTATAGTCATACAATTTCGCGATCACGTTAAATTGGGTTGGTAATAATTTCTTTTAAACCTATAGGACCTTAGCAACTTGTTGACATAAATAAGAAATAATTTGTTCTTAAGTTTAAGCAAGACTTTGCCATTAAATTTTGTTGAAACAAAATAATTAAAAGTTACATTTTGACATTTTTTTTAACTTTTTTTGCAACAACCCATTACCCAGAAATTGTGAAATTTTAGCATGATAATCTGTCAAATTGTGAAAAAAAATAAAAGTAGTTCGAGAATATTTATTATGAAGGAAGTGGCTAGCCGCCCGTACGGCTAGCCAAAAGTTCTAGCCGTACGTGAGTCACGTACGACTAGCCAGGACACACTGTATTGGCTAGCCGTACGGCACTTTTCAAAATTATATGGAAGTCTAAAATGCATATGTTATTTTATGACTTTAAGCGAGGATTTGTACAAGACACAGCAATTGTCTTCGTATGTTTACTTTTTAGAGATTAATCGCCTTGTTTGTTGGCTACAGTAAAGAAAGTATACGAATACAGTATATATTTTTGTCATCTCAAGACGTCGAGAAAAAATAGCGTTTGGTTGCAGTTAAATAACATCAATTGAAATAGTTTACAAAACTATTTCATTTAGTCTAATTTTCAAATAAAAAAAATTATAATAATAAAAAAAACGCCGAAAATAGTTGTTGTTGGGCTCTGATAATTGCGTCAATTATCGACGATATAGAAGTTTGTCCATCATTAAGGAAAGTTTGCCTTAATTAAGGCTTATTAATTGATTGTGCTTTTATGTTCGATATTTAAAATTATATGTACTTTATTTGAAAATTATTAATTTTTTTTTCTTTTTCACCGTTTTTTTTTTCAGTATTCTTTTTATTTAATTATTTATTTATTTAATTATTTATTCCCCTCCGATCATTTTTTATTCGATCCATGTGCTTAAATAACAAAAATGATTTAACAATTCATCTTTCATACAAATAAAACAACAAATCATAAGCATGAAAATCAACAACGTTATAACTTATTACATACAACTTTGACACTTTTATCAAAATAGATTATACAACGCTTGTTCGTATTCATTTTTTTACAAAATGGCGGAACATCTTTATAAAAGTGAACACACTAGGACAAATGCGGAGACTTGATTAATATCCTCGTTTTAAGACACATAATAACATATGCATTTTCGACTTCCATATAATTTTGAAAAGTGCCGTACGGCTAGCCAATACAGTGTGTCCTGGCTAGTCGTACGTGACTCACGTACGGCTAGAACTTTTGCCTAGCCGTACGGGTCCGTACGGCTAGCCACTTCCTATAATGAATTATAATTTCAGTGTTCCATCAAAATTGTTATCGTCATCTGATGAAGAAACTCCTACACATATTCAAAAATTAAAGCTTCCACCAAGGCCATGCCCTGTACTACCAGACTGCAGAAGCAGCCTACAATCATCGTAACAGACCACGCTTACAGGCACTCCAACAACCCAGGATACATACCCAACTGTAGCGATATCATCAACCCCTCGTTCGGTTGGCAGTAATAGAGTACCATCAACCCCTCATTCAGTGGTCAGTGATCGAGTACCTTCTACCCCTAGTTCAGTTGTCAGTAATAGAGTACCATCAACCCCTCATTCAGTGGTTAGTGATCGAGTACCTTTCTACCCCTAATTCAGTTGTCAGTGATCTAAATGAAACACCAGAGACCCCTGCAGGTAGTTCCACTGCCATGCGTTCCGAAGTAGGTAAGGATGTTTGATTTATAGGTATACTCTTAAATGATTTTAAACAATAATTGGTCTTTAATTGATAAAAGATGTGCTTTTTTTAATGTCTGAATGGTTGTATTGTGTTATTTCCTTCCACTTGAAGAACTTGGGAGACGTAAGATGTCAGTATTAAATGAAATTATTCAAATTATTGGTTCATTCTGTGTATAATGTTTTTATTTGGTTAAATATTGTCGGTTAGGGTTTAAAAAGATCATGGCATTTCTTTTGATGTTCTTGTTAAGAAATCAAACTTCTAAATTTAATAGCAGTTTGTCCATGTCTCTTCATTTAAGGATGTTCACTTGGTCTGGACACTGCAGGATGATTTAATTAAAAAGAATATTCCTTTTGTTTTTTTTACTTCAGTAATTATATTGAAAGTTATGTTTCTCATTAAATAATATTTTTGTATTTTAGCACGAGATATCCGCATTTTTACCCTATTAGAAAAAATGTCTCGACAACAGACACAAATATTGGACACTGTTCATCAGGTATTTGGTGTCGTGTCAAAGTTGGAAAGTCAAGATGGTGGTGGACCAACTGAATTGCCTGATGATATTCATTTACCAGTTACAAGCATTGAAGAACTGGAGTTGGTTGAGACAGGTTTACAAGAACCTGGTTGTTTCAATGGCTTGGTAAATTTATTTTCATTAGTTAGAAAGATGTTAATTTTATCTTTGCACGAAATGAATTTATTATTGTTTTTGAAAACAAAAGTGTTTTTGCTAAACTTTTTTTATGTCACTAAAATTTTGCACACTAGTTTTCTGTCCGTCATACTGTTCTTAAAAGTTTTTGGCCTGTCATTAGTGTGCTTTTGTTTGTAACACAAAAGACATTATATTATTACTCTAGTGTAATATGTAGACATTATATTATAACTAGTGTAATATAGTATTTCTTAAATAGAGAATATCTGTTTGTTTTGCATGTAAGATTGAAAAATATTTCACTGAGCGAACACCAGATGCAATATTAATTTCATGACTTGCATTGCAACGAATGAAAATAAAATACCTGGTGTTCACGAATGAAATATATTTCAATCTTATAATGTAAAACAAATAAATTTTCTTTTTATTTCATGCTTTTTTCGTGATTTTAAATATTTTTTACTGATTTGCTGCCTGACGTCGCGCATTCTCCTTTATGAAGTCATAACATCATGATGTCACATCATCAATTTTGAAATATAATCCTGTTAAATCCTCCAATTTTGTTACACTTTTAACATGATAAATGATGACATCGACTTTCTTTTCTTAAAGAAAGAACATTTACGTATGACGGCATTTTTTTGGGCCTGTTATTCCATTTAGTTATATTCTTTTCATCTGCATTCAGATATAGTCCGGCAGCTGAAGTCGAATTAGATTGTAGAGAATGGTTTCGAAGTGCATGTGACAGAGACGGGGGCCGTAAAAGAAGACAAAAAACCAATGAAGGTGTCCAAGAAACACCCACTGAATAGAACTTTTAAATATATTTATAGCGATATTGAAAGAAAAAAGATGGCTCTTTTAATTTGGAAGTAATGTAAAGGACTTGTATCATTCTAGCCTAATAGTTCAAGAACATATACTAAGAAGAATAAATCATACATAAATAGTGATATAGTTAAACTAAACATTAGGCCATCCTTAAAAAATTGTTTGTGTGTAGTGCTCCGACCCTATGTTCAAGAGGTGGGTGGGTAGGTAGGTAGGGGATTTTTTTTTTTTTTTTTTTTGGAAATTGTTACAAAATTGGAGCATACTGAGTATAGCAATACACAGTATATAGCCTCCCATGATATACTGTGCATTGTATTTAGACAAATTAAAATATGTAGGCAAATGTATTTCTGTTGATATTTTCTTTGTTTAATATTTCAAATGATAACAGACATACAATGTAACACTTTTGTTGTTGTTTATTTTGCATCTGTTTCATCTTTAAACAAAATAACTGAACTTGTTCCTTATTTACTGACATTAACAATGTCTGGAAAAAGGTGACAATACCTTTAATAAAACAAGTGGTATGAGAAAAATATATACAATATGATTCCTTGACAGATCTAGCCCTTTGAGAAAATAGAACAGAATTAGTCTCAATACCAGTATTTCAGTGTTATTTGAAAATGCAATTTGCATTGCAAGTATAGGTGTTTTGTTTGTAAAATCAATGATTACCACCTTTTTTGATGACCACCTAAGATTTCATTTACTGGTCCTGACTTGTCAAATACTAAATGCACAAAGAAGGGAGGGGTGTAGCAAATCCATTTTTCTCATTACTATTGAATAAAAGGAATTATCCTGCAAATAATATTAATCTGGTTAGAATATAATTATTTGAAATTAAATGACTAACAGCAGAATTTTTTAGCTCTTTTTATGTTATTGTTTGTTTTTGTTTGTTTTTTTTCTTTTTTGTTTGTTTGTTTTTTGTTAAATTTTAGGGGTACACTTGAAAATTTAGATTACCTTGCCACTTAGCCAACAAACCATGTTAATTAACTCCATTCACTAGCCAGCATAATAATAGATCATTATGTATGTTACACCTGTCACACAGTCGTATGTACTTACCATATATGGCAGTGTAGTATGTAGAAAAATCTACGTCACCTGCTGTATACATGTATAGTGTGTAATCAACAGGTCCTGGAGCCTGGAGTTTGTTTTGAAAGTTGGATTAAAGAGAGCAACAATTAATAAACCCCTTTGGGTGTTTAAAAGGGAATATAGTACGGACAATTACAAAGGAGAAAAAAGGAACAAAAACAAAAGAAAAAATAAACAGTGCATGATTGCATCAAAGATTAAAAAATATGGCTATTAAATTACAATTTAGGAAAAGGTAAAATTAATGAATAATTATCATTCTTATAAAGAAAACACAGGTATAACTTATTTAAAAGTATCGGGAAAAGACCCATTAATTTCCAGCGATTTTCCCGCGAAAATTTTATCAATTAACTTGTTTTTTCAACAAGTTTTAATGTAACCTCATGAATGGCAAAATGATTTAAATTAATTTATGTCAACAATAAAGTTTTTCTGGTATTATTTTGTGTAAAAATGTATGTATACAGTGGTGGCCTATGGTTACGGAGGGTAATCTATTTTAACATTCATTGATGTATGTATTTTATCTTTGAAGCAAGGTTGCAATCTTTTTTTTTTCATTTTTATACCAAAAAAATCAAATTGTATTCAAGTTAGATATGTCAACTCATGTAAAATCATGTAAAAAAAAATTCATGAGGGTACCATTTCTGTCAATTTTCACATAACAAAGTGACAATCTTTTTTCACTTTTATATAAAAAATAAATCGAATTTTAGTCTGGTTTAATATGTCCAGACAAAAACTTTATATTTGTAAAAATATCTTGAAGAGGGCATCATTTCCATAAACTGTACCGTGTACGTATATATATTCAACATTTAGTGGAATGAATAGGAAAATCGAGTACAGCTTCACACAGTGTGTAAGAGATTCATCCGATCGGAAATTATTTTAGCTAATATCTTCGAAAGGGGATCGAATTTTATAAGATTTAATGTTAAATAATTAACAAAAGAACAATTCATTCACATGTCTGGCTTGGAAACTGAGAATTTTTATGCCCTTTGCGAAATTTTAAGGTTTCTGGCGAATGTGAAATCGCCGATGTTCGGGGTCGAAGTTTGGCAAAATATCGATGAAAAGCGTGCGTTTATTTTGGTTTTGGAATACAATTCTTTTACTCTTCTACTTCTCAGTTCAAAATTTGTCTGAAAAGTTATTGGAAAAAGATCTTTTTAACAGAATGGGTAAATAATGATCTCAAAAAAAAAAAAAAAAAAAAATCCTCGAAGGTGTAAAAATTTTTTAGAGTCGGGGCCATTTTCATGGGTCGGTCGGAGCACTACAAACAAACAATTTTTTATGGATGGCCTTATTGAGATATATTTAAGAAACAATATCAGTTTCTGTGTTGTTCATCGGCTATTTAAAATCAGTTTAAGCTTGTGTGTCAGGCAGGATTATATATATTGTGTTTACATCGTTGCTGGATTAATGATTCTTCAGCCCCTGACCAGTTTAAAGTGACGCCATTCTGGCACTTGTATGAACAAGCTGCATACTTGGGATGACGTTTTTATGGTGCTTACGAGTTCGCGTCAATTTGTCTTATAAAACTTATATCAATCTGTTGGGTCGGTGAATGTGAGATGTTACTTTAGCATCATATGAAAAGAAGAAAAAAAGTGAACTGAAAACATCAGAAAAAGTGCGTTATTATTTTTGCCGTAAAAAGAATTTGAAAACTATTTTATTGAGGGAGAACAAAAAACAGCGGCATATTTGTGTAGTCCATAATCAGTGCTTATTGGAAGTTTACGCCGTTAAAATCCTTCTTTGTTATAGAAACAAAATCTCAAGGAGTGTTAGATTTACATAAGATGTACATATTGTTATTGTTTTTACTCATTCAGTATTTCAATCGCACATATCAAATATTGAGATTATGGTCATAGCTTCATGATAATCAAATAATTTTTACAATTATAATACTAAATCCTGCGATTTGTGAATCTATAATTCAATTATTGTTTTTGATTCGTTATTATAGGTTGTTTTTTTGTTTTATGCTTTGTAAAAATATTATAAATCCATTTTATTACCATGCCTTGCCAAATGTATAGTCAAGTCTAGTCTTTATTTTTTGCATTGTTTTTTACATTGTTTTATTCTTACATTTATTTTCTTTAATAATTCTGCATAATTGCTGATATTTTTTATTTATTTTTTTCTATTATTGCATAATAGCTGAAGTATAGAGAAAAAAAACACCCATACAAATGCAATGTTGTAGATTCATTCTCAGTTTTTAAATGGAATTTAAATCATAGCTTTTGAACATATTAAGTTTTATTATTGGCATTTTTAATTTGTTTGTTTATAATGTTTTACCAAGGAAGCAGAACTAAATTGAATTATTACTAGTCTTTTATATCTTTTTTTAGTCAGGTATGTTTTTATTTAAAGTGAAGGTGTATATTTGTTTAGAAATGGAAGCATGAGAAAAGAATTAACAGTGATGTTTGTACAATATATATATTATTTATCAACAGAAATAACAATTGAAGATGGCCATAAGGAGTTGTTTACCAATTAATGCAATCTAATGTAAAAGTCAAAAAAATATTATTTAATGTGGGAATCTGAATATTAGTTATAGTATGATAAAATGATATAATGTCATCAGTGGGGAACTTTCTCAAGAGTGAATCTATTATATTCTTTAAAATTTTGATTTCTTAAATTTTATGTCTTCATTATAAAGATTCAGTAACCATGACAATTTATTTTCTTATTTACTTTCAATAATTATATATTAACAAAATTAATATGAGTGTTATTCTATTACCAGTATATTGTCTGTGATTTTTAAAGGAAATTTTTGATTTCATTTATGAAATGGACTTAAATGTCTATTTAATAGATTAATGATACAATTAGACTTCCTTAAACACTAAAAAAACTATTACAACATTAAATAACATAGATTGAAGACTAATATTGTTTTTTTTTTTTTGGGGGGGGGGGGGTGTTGTGCACTTTTTCTCACATACTTCTCAAATATTTATAACAAAACGATGAAAAATGGATTGTTTGCTGTTATGTTATTGGGTTTTATTTGCAGTCTGCGATAAACAATTTAATTTTGATAAAGCAACAAATACTTGTTTACAGTACCATTGTCCTTTAAAAATACAAATATATTTTTAGCTCGACAATACGAAGTATATGGAGAGCTGTCCTACTAGCCCCGGCGTCCGCGTCCAGATTTCAGATTAAAGTTTTGGTGCAGTAAAATATTTCTCACTATAACTTTGTCATTTCTAAAGGCATCAACTTTAAACTTAAAATATATGTTCCTTATCATCAACCACATCTTATGTGACAAGGTTCATAACTCTAGCACCAATATTTTCAGATTTATCTCCCCTTGAACTTAGAATTTTCCTTAAAAAATAAAATTTTTTACTGTTACTTCTTTATTTCTAAATGGATCAACCTCATACTTCAAATATATGTACCTTATCATCATCCCCATCTTATGTGACAAGGTTCATAACTCTAGCACCAATATTTTCAGATTTATCTCCCCTTGAACTTAGAATTTTCCTTAAAAAATACTATTTTTTACTGTTACTTCTTTATTTCTTAAGGGATCAACCTCATACTTCAAATATATGTACCTTATCATCATCCCCATCTTATGTGACAAGGTTCATAACTTTAGCACCAATATTTTCAGATTTATCTCCCCTTGAACTTAGAATTTTCTTTAAAAAATATTATTTTTTACTGTAACTTATTTATTTCTAAAGGGATCAACTTCATACTTCAAATAAATGTACCTTATCATCATCCACATCTTATGTGACAAGGTTCATAACTCTAGCACCAATGTTGCAAGAATTATCTCCCCATCAACTTAGATTTTTTTACTAGAAAAATGTTATTTTTTACTATAACTTTTTTTAGTTTTAAAGGTATCTACCTCAAACTTCAAATACTTATTCCTTATAATCAATTATATTTTATGTGACAATGTTCATAACTCTTGAAGTAATTTTTACAGATTTATCTCTCTTTGAACTTAGGATTTTCTTTAAGAAATATTATAACTTTGTTACTTTTTAAGGTATCTACTTCAAACTTCAAATATATACTTCTTATCATTACATACATGTTGTGTGACAAGGTTTATAACTCTAGCGTGACTATTTCTACAATTATTTCCCTTGATCTTGGAATTTATTTTAACAAATGTTATTTTTTTACTATAACTTAATACATAATTATACATAATTGATTTTTCTTTCATAGTTTTGTCCTCCTTACTGCGTCCAGTATTCTATTAGTCGAGCTTGGCTGTCTCTTGTGACAGCTCTTGTTTCCAATCTTTGTTAAATTCTTTTTTGACTGTGATGTTAACTGCTGTACACAATTAACATACATTTGTTAAAAAAAATATTGATTCTATGATATACATGTATATTTGCCAAATGAAAATAAAAAGCTTATATTTAAGCTCAATTGTGTTTTTTTGTTAATTGGAATGAAAAAATCAAAGTAAAATGTTTTATTAGAAGAAAAATTAAAGGTTAATTTATGTCGGTATGACACCGGCTTCAAATCGATCTAATGATATACAGCCGATATCGGCCCGACTTGTAGCCGGGTTGCACATCCGACATCTGTCCGATATAAGAAATCGATATCGGGCCGACATAACAACTGATATCGGGCTGATATTGGACCGATATAAAATTTTTGCTGGGTGTTCGCTGACGGTCAGAAGGAGAGAAGAGAGTAAGGAGATTGTAAATAACCAGAGAGCTTGTTTCCAGGAGATTTATTGAGTAAAATCAAATAGATATTAACCTGTTTTCTGAGATAACAATATAATAAAGTTAAATTAAACGTAAATCAAAACTCAAAGTTAGCATAACACATGTTAAATAAATATAATGTGAACATATGGCTTTTTAACATTTTATGTGCTAGAAAATAAATCTTGAAATAAGCAAATATATAATTTACCCCAGAATGATAATGAGTATTGATTTCAAATAGTCATAAATATTTTTTGGAGTTTCTTGACCTTGGTGGATACTAAATTATAAAATAATACAGGGTGGATACTAAATTATAAAATAATACAGTTACAAGAAAAGCATTGATGCAAAGCATCAAAGGGCGTCCAAGCAAGAATACAGAAAGTGAAGATGAACTAGTAGACATATGGTTAATTGGTTTTTACCAGAATGAACGGAAGAAAGACATAGCTTATTTTTTCTGTAAAATATTTGTTCTGTAACGATATCCTACATCTACTCCAAAACCGGGAAAGACCGGACAATAAACGTATGATACTATTCGCCGGTCACTAGTGAATCCCGGTCAAAATAGACCGGGAGAGACCGGGAATCACCGATAGAAGTAAAATACATTCCTCTATAAATAGATTTTCGGAATGTTAAGGTCATCAACTCATCATTCTATTTTAACATACCATAATAACCCACTGTGTTCTACAAAATGATAAATAAAAAAACGAAGAGACGGAAAAGGTTATTTCATTTGTAAATGTTTGCATTGCGAAAATCTCCAGTTCGCTATTCATTGTACATATCGCGACATTTCATTTCTAATTAATAATAATCAAGCACCCTCATACCGGTCGGAATGATCGGCTTTTATTATGACCGACTAAAAGGCTCGAGAAGTTGCTGTCGCCCTTTCACAAAATCTGATTTCATTCCATAAGGGGCGCCGCGCTTCGGCGCGGACGCCAATGATTTTTCAAAACATCAATATCAAAAGTTTCTTTAAGCTATTTAAAATCAATATTATAGAAATCAACATCATTGACTAAATAAATTACAATGTAAACGTATTCTTATATTTTATTTTTATATTTTAACTATATACTATTTGTATAAATGTTATAAAAGTACACAATCCTTTAAATTCTCAAAGGAAAATTTTCCTTGACATTTTACCCGAGAGATTTTACTGAAACGGTGATACATTCCCAAAATCACATGCATATGTCGTTAAAATGTTTTACACATTTAATCAGAGATTCACCGAAATTGAAGAGTTTCTAACATTTCATCATAATAATTATATTCATGATCAATTGTATCGGAGGCGTTTTCAAAATCTTCGAATAATAATAGTTCTAGTATTTTGTTAGGTTGAGCAAAGTCTATTGTTTCATAAATGAGAGGAACAGTTTCGCCAATATAGAAACATCTTATGAAACCTGTTTGTGCATTATCTATTATAGATTTTATAACCTTTTAATTTTATTTGCTATGGCTTTTGTTTCAATATTGTATTCTACATTTAACAAACTTATAGGCCCCCAGTTACTTAATATTTGCGTGTCTTTATTTGGTTTTGGTAAAAGATAAATAATACTTTAATTCTGTAAAGTTAAAAGATTACCTCTATCCTAAGAGTAATTTATAGATTGAATAAATATGTTTTGATATCAGACCAAAATTTACGTAGACTTTAGACATAAAGAAATAAAAAAAATAAAAGTATAAAGATGAGATTATTTACAAAATAAACAGATACTCGAACAAAGCTTAGTAAACATACAAATGCGAGCGTTTTATAACCAGAAATAATATGAAGACGAGAATGATCTTGTTTCTACATATCGAGAAGTATTTATTATAATTGTAATGCGAGTCTTGTTCAAATGTAATCTGGGCGTAGGGATTTTCATAATACAGGATAAAAATAGACGGCAAAACTTAAATAGTATGACAGTACAAATGATGAAATAAATAAACACAAATTACAAATCGATAAATCTGAAACTTACCAGACTGAATTACTGTAGGCTCTGTAGTTGTTGTTGTTTCTGTTGTTGTTTTAATAGTTGTAGGTTCTGTAGTTGAAGTACTTGTTGTTGGTTCTGTAGTTGTAGAAGAATCATTATTGTTGTAGTAATAATCAATCTAAACCTTATGTAGTTAAAAATATTCCCTATTTCTTTTATAACTATAACACAACAGTCTTGTCAATTGTACAAAACCGTGCTTTCTAAATATTGTTTTCAACAGAGATAAACAAACAAAAAACTTGTAACAAGAGCAATTCGTGGCTTCATACAAACAGATACAATTTCATTTCAGATGATGAATAAGTAATCAGATGTATATCTAATATTTTTTTCTATGAGATATGTTCAAAAACATCGTGGACTCCTGTTGTCGCTTCTACATGGTTAATTGCATAATGTTTTAATAAAATGCTAAGTATGTCATTTATCAATTTGGAGTTTGGATATAATTTACAAGCGATATTCTTATACAATTCTCTGAAACAAAAAGCTTCTCAATATATATTTCAGCAATACTTGCCAACGCAGGTTTCATTACTGGTCAGTTCAAAACCATCTTCACAATCACAGGAATAGGAACCAAGACTGTTTATACAAACTGTTCGATGTGCGTCTGTGCATGGATTATCCGAGCATTCGTCAATATCTGTAATGCAAAACTGTCCAGTGTAACCAGGATCAGAACAACATATTACAGTCACATGATAACATTTTCGAGCTTAATTAAAATTAAAATAGCATCCACAAGGCGTCCATACGAAAATCCATCATGTTTGGAAAACCAATTTACTTAAAGCTGCATTAAATATGTCAACATTTTTTCCGTTGGCTTAAAAACCAAGCAATTCCAGTTCCGTTACCGTTTTTAACAGTATTGATGTAAATCTCATTCAATATTGTTCATAAGTTATCATTAAAAAAACACGGTAAAACAAAAGTTCGTATACGAATTTTAACATGTACTATATGATTAGCTAGTGTATGCACTACAGGCCGGGGTAAAATCAATTCTTACTATGTTGATAACACCAAATGTGAGATATTTACCGTTTTGTTTCACGGTGCATTAGCCCTGTCGTTCACCAAAAAGTAATCATGTCCTCAAAACGATCGAATTTTTATGAAAACATCGTAATAAGATGCGGAAATATACCGTTAAATTCGGACTTCTACTTTTTTCTATTTCTATTGATGTATGGATGACCCAAAGACGTAGTTTCTCATGCAAATAGAAACTGCACTTCCGATTTCGCCACAATGAGGTTGCAGAATTTTAGGGTTATAAAAGTCATTTTTGTTGTGTGATACCAACATAAAAAAGGAAGTTGATTTGAAACACATTTAATTAAAGAAATGAAGATTTTTCTTTTTTTTTGAAAACTTATTTTATGCAGCTTTAAAAGGAGATCAATGCGCATTTTGAAAAAAAAAATACAATAAAACTATAGAGTGTTTTATTGTAATGAATATAAGTTTAGTATTTGTATTTTGGGGTTTATTTTAACGTCGACCTCTTAGATTTATGTGTTGAATAGCTAGCATTCTAATTTAATCAAATACAAATCTTTCTCCTCTTTACTTTACAAAAAAAAACCCACACACATTTGGGTTTTTCTTAAGCTTTTAGTAATCGTATCGTGTTTGCCATTCACAATACTAGAATCTTATTTTGCGAACTTTAAAGTTTTGACATTACCTCGACATACGCCGTTTACTTGCATGTATCCAGGTACACAATTACATTGGTATGAGCCGTTTGTATTCTCACACGTTGAGTTTTCCGGACAATCAAACGTTCCGGTTTCACATTCGTCGGTATCTTCACTGCACGTGTCTCCTTGCCAACCAGTCTTACATGTACACATACCATTTATAGTATTACATAACTGTGTTGTGTTTTCATTACAGGCGCACGTACTGTTGCACTCATAACCAAATGTATTCTGTCGACAACCTGAAAATGAAATTAAAGTTTCTTAAAAGTATAAAGAAAGCCGGAATCTATAAATGACATGTGTAAAACTTGCGGATGGTGATGACTGCAATATATATATTTTTAATGTTTAATCTTATATTTCTTGAGGTTCTTTGTTTTAGACTTTTCTAATACAGATAGCTGCAGAAAATTACACAATAACCTTTTTTGAAAGTAATCTTTAAAGTATAATATAACTGTGTTGTGTTATAATTACAGGCACAATATGCCTCAGAAACCATATTTATTTAAGCCTTTAGAAAAATCAAACAAATGTTTATCAATATTTTACTTATGTTAAATGCATGTTAGATGCTCAACAGGTAAAGAAAGTAGTGTTGAATGTGCAGTCATGTGTCATAAAGGCAGCAAAATGTAAACGAAATAGTATTTGACTTCAATACAAAATACTAGTTCACTATAATCATACCAATTGCCAACAAAAAATAAACACAAAAAAAAAAAACCCCACAAAAAACAACAAAAAACAACAAAAAAAAGATAGTTAAACAATATGGCAAATGAGTATTTCTTTAGAAACTGTACAAAGATGCCAAAAATTAAAAGTTTTTTTTTTTAAAAATACAAATGATAGTATTTCTAAGGCATATAATGACTTGAAATCTTACAAAAGACATTGTTTAAATGTTTGTTTTTTTGCATACAAACTACGATCATAGGTATACATTTACGAAGAAAAAAACATGCATTAACGGATAATTTCGGGTGAACACTGTTGTTTCACCTTTCTTATATGCGCGACTCTTGGTGGCATTAAGGGGTAGCATTTTGCATTGACGGCACTGTAAGTCGATAACGAAAACATAACCTTTTAATTACATCGCAAGAACACGTGTGAAACATAACATAATGATTTCCCTTTTCCGAAAACATATTACGAATTGCCAAAATAGACGTATATTGTAATGCAAGAATGTCACTTATGCAAATTTAAACTTGCGTTAACATCTACAGAAACCCGTAGGTTATCATCTCCCTCGACCTGCGGGCTCGGGATATATTTGCTTCTGTACATGTAAACGCACGAACAACTGTACATGAACACTTTATTGTAAGGTGATTGATATTGCTTACCCTCTTACTAAAGTTAAAATAGCCAGCATGATATGTCAGAGCGCAAATTAAAGCTTTATCTTAGTAAGATGTATTATTGTAATGTATTAATCTTGCCGTTATTTTATGCTTCAGTTATCAGTGAACTTTACCTTGACAAGCTCCATCACTGGTCGTGAAATAACCTACGTCACATTTGCAGTAGAAAGACCCTTCAGTATTGATACAGTTCGAGTTATTCGGGCACGTGTTAGTTTCGCACTCATTAATGTCTTCTTGACATCTAACTCCGCTCCATCCTTTGGAACAGTTACACGTTCCGATGATAATGTCACATGATACGGTGTTGTCATTGTCACAATTACAGGTTTCTGTGCAGTTATCTCCGTATTTACCTTCCGGACAGGCTGTGTAAATATCAGAGAGAGTAGCTTATTATTAAAAGTAAAGAAATTCCAACAGCCGTTTGGTCTTTTCATTTTAAGAAAATATAAATAAGACATCTTTTGCAAAAAGCGATATTGGCCGTGAAGTGTAAAGCTGATGTATGGGGACGTTTATATGTACTTGTATTTTTATTGCCGACTCGCAAAATAAATTTTGTTTTTTTTCCGGTGTATATCATGAGTCTAATTCAAAATCGTATATTAGTCGATATACTTAAATGAGGAGTCATTAATCTTAACCAAGAATTGAACTTTTTTAGTTAAAAGGGTTGGGTTGGGTTGGATTTTGCGTTGGTAACATCGTACCAACACAGTTAAGGTCAAATTCCGAAGGCAAAGGAAGACCTAAAATATGATAAACAAGATTAACAAGGAAAGGCGGCGTTCAATGAACGCAACACCCACACGATCCAGCAAAAACAGCCAGTGACAAGTAGCCCAGGAGGGCCCCAAACAAAAACAGGACAGAGCACAAGGCAGAGCATGGACAGGTTAATCACTAAAATCATACATAAGAAGAAATAATAAGTAACCGATAAGGAAGTAAAAGAAAACAAATAATAGGCCGATAAAGTCAAAGGGCACAGTGGAAGGGGACAGGAGACCCGGGAAAGGGGGGGGGGGGCGGTAAATAAAAGGAATAAAACTAGGGCCAAAGGGGAGGATACTTACCGTAGACGAGAAAACAAGGGACAAAAAACAAAAGTGCCACCAAAACAGTATGAAACAACAAAGACATACATTTGAGGAACACAGAGGGCGCTGCCTTTGAACGGTCGGCAGCATAAGTACTGCTGGGGAGTTTAAACCGGTTAATGGTGCACCAAACCTCACTCATAGCCCTACTATGTTCCTATAAACGAGACAGTGTAAATAAAATGAATCCCCGCTAAGTGAAATTTTAAAAGTTGTCATGGTAACGAAAGGTGAAATAAAACATCGAAATGCTCATGTAGAAACATACAAAAGAAAATCCAATGACCATAACAAAGTACTCAATGTCTTAAATGAAGACAGAGCAACAAGGAGATCACCTACAAGGGCCCGACGAAGCAAGACATAAGATGAACGTTAAGGCAATTCAGTCCCAAAGGGCTTTAAGAACTGTCCATCATAGAGTTCCACTTGGTCCGTCAGATGAAATTAAAAGAGGAAAGCGTAGCGTCCAACTGTAAATGGGTTGAACACTAAGCATGCGGTATGTCTGAAAATAGTAGGAGCATAACCCCTTTAATAAAACGTTTAATAATCTTAGTGAAAACAACAGAAAATTTACAATGACCCAAGATCTTACAAAGTTTGTAAACAACATCCCCGTAAAAATCAGGTTGGCTAATCCCTTGTCGCAGAAGTGTTTTTAGATCACTATTGAATTTTGAAATTAAATCAAAGCTATGATTGTAAAATTTTGTAAAATATTTACGTAATTTATAATAGCGGTAGCCCTGTTTTAGTAGCTTACCTATAATGAAAATATTTCGCTCGTTAAAATCCTTTACGTTGCTACAAGCTCTAGCGAATCTAATCAACTGAGATATATAAACCCCCTAAGATGTTGCATGCGGTACGTCTCCATCCAAATGTGGATATTTTACTATACCATAATCAAAGTCCTCTCTTTTATCATAGATTTTCGTGTGAATACAATTGTTTCTGATAGTAATATGAAGATCCAAAAATGATAAAGGCAAATTTCAAGAATTCGTTTTATTAAGCTGTAGCCCAGTAGGATAAATATTAGACACCATTTGATCAAAATAAGAATTATCTAAATTAAAAATGTCATCAAGGTATCTGGAAGTTTTATTAAATACTAATATATCATCTTGTTGTGTATTTTCAGAGGGACTCAACATAAAGTATCTTCATAGCAATATAAAAACAAATCGGCGACCAGGGATGCACAATTAGTACCCATGGAAATTCCTATGATTTGTTTAAATAGGGTATTACCAAACCTGACATAAATATTGTCTAAAACAGTTGAAGCTTGACAGTTCTTAATTTTCAATTTATCGAAAATTTCACCGGAATTCTCAATGGACCAAAATAGATATTTGCCGGTATTTTCGTACACTTTATCACATTATCTAATTACATGTGTTTTAATGGCAGTCAAACAAGACGTCAATAAAATAGAAAGTTTACTTGTAGTGCTAGATGTAGAATTAGCAATGAATCTGGCCTTGTAAGTTTTTTTTATGTAATTTAGGAATCCAATACATAATAGGAAGGTTTATTTTTTTTCATCGATTCGGACTTGAGGGAGCGTGAGGGATGTTGCACTTATTCATTATCCCTCATGTACAGACTCAATCAAACCGAGTCTGCAATTCTTATGTAATTTTGTTGTGATTTATGCTTCCGAGGGATCACTTTGTTTCCAGAATTTTATACTTCACAACAGCAGGTTTCACGTGCTGTGTGGCAGCTGTAAAAGGTTGGCCCGTACTTCACTTCAGTGTTGTTATATTTTTCTGGTCCTTCGGAATCATTGATACCAGCACTATTAAGTGTTGAGAATTGAGTACCGCTCAAGCCGGTTCTAGGGGGCGTGAGGTATGTTGCACATTACAGTATCCCACATGTACATACTTAATCAAACCGAGTCTGCAATTTTCATGTTATTTTGTTGTGATAAATGCTTCCGAGGATCACTTTGTCTCCAGATTTTTTTAGCAACGATCCGTTTCCTAGAAGAGAAGCAAGTATAAGTGAGGTGCTTTTCCCAGGAAAGAGCAAGTCTTAGAACGGTCCACTTTCCACAAAAAAGCAAGTCTTAGAGAGGTCCGCTTTCCCGATAAGAAGCGTGTCTTTGAAAAAACCGCTTCCTAGGAAAGAAGAAAATCCTAGGTCCTAGGAGCGCAACAAGTCTACGGTGCGTATCAAGATTAACTTGTGCAGCAAGTCAATTCAGCGCAGCATGTCAGGGAATCGCAACAATTCCAAAGAGCGCAGCAAGTCCAACTAGCACAGTAAGTATAAGTAGCGCACAAACTCAAGGAGCGCAGCAAGCTTAAGATGCACAGCTAGTTGAAGTGCTGAAGCAAGTCTAAGGGCACACAAGTTTAAAAAACACAGCAAGCCTCAGTAGTCTAGCAAATCCAATCCTGCAGCAAGTCTAAGGAGCGGAGCAAGACATACATGCAGTTGTTCTTAAGCAATATTCACAAGTTATGCTTGGAATCTCAAAAGTGAAACTATAACTTGACAATAGGGACCTCGTCCGGGATCACGTTTAAGAGGTATAAACCGAGCTATATGTATTGCGACTAATGGTTTTAGAATAGGGGAACACTAGGGTTATCCGGCGGTAATATATTATTGTTCATTCAAGATATATAAAAAGAGTGCATAGCAAGAGAGAAGAGATCCCGTGAAAAAGAAAGACGACAGTTAGAAATAAGTTTTGATCTTTAAAATGAAAGAAAAAGAGATTGATATAAGCAACCTAAATCCAGCAAAGTAACCACCAGTGAGGGGGCAAGTCCCTTAGACTAAAAATACATAAATTTGTTGAAGCAAACGATAATATAGATTAATTTCTTGAGAGGTTCGAGAGGCTTGCCGTCAGTCAAATCTGGAAAAAAAGACACTTAGGCCATGAGTTAAAGCTCATTATTATTAGGACAAGGTCTGGAACTATTTACAAGTTTGTCCATGAAGAAGCCAATGAGTATGATACTTTTAAGAGTACCAGTTGACTGAAGAGGGTTTCAGGATGAGCAGACACAGCAGACTACTTCCTGGTGAGTCTTTTGGTTTCTTACAAAATTAAATCAATCCATACGCGAAACCCCAGGTGAACAACTTCATATGCTGATCAACATTCCTGTAAAGTTTGATTACACTAGTTCAAGCACTGCAACTATATGCGACACAACATGAGAACACATGGACGGTCGGACCAGGCAAATCCAAAGGCATGAAAACAAAAGTGGAGGAATCATGTTGTTTAAAAGCGTCGGCCTTCTGTTAATCCGACCTGTCTGTCTTCCTGTCGTCCATCAGTGTTGTCATTTATGGACGCATTTCAAAATTGTTTAATGTAAATATCAGCACATTTACACGACTTAACTCTGTAGCCAAATATTCAATGTCACACTTTGACTTTGAAGGAATTTGCAATGCTGTTTATGTATTTTATCTTTAAATGGATTGATTAAAAAAAATCAACAACTTTGCATAAACATTTGGATAGGGAATCGACGTGTCTCACGCAAGAAAAAATGCCCTGCTGGCCTACCTAACGATGATCAATTGTTGCTGGTTTTTGTTGGGGAATGCATTCATTGAATTTAGACCTTTTTTGTTGATTGTTGTTTTCATATTTTAGGCTTTTAGGTCAATGTCACACTAATAAGTCCAAAGTCATTATATTTTAAAATGGAACATAATTTGCATTGTGTCATAAGTAATTGATAATATATCTGTCTCTCATAAAATTTACATGATTTTACATGACAATTCACGTAGACATGTAAAACAAACAACAATACAAAGACACATCAGTGACTGTTACCTTTTTATCTTAAGTCTGCCTATGATAAAAATTATACAAGTAGTTGACGGGATACACGGGGATTATAACCTGAGTGAGATAAATATGACACGAGGTATAAGTCGAGATTTATACTTATGTAAGCAAGCTATATTCTCTCGTATATCCCGCCAGCAACTTTTACATTATTATTAACGATTAAAATCAGCAACTTCTTTTCAACTAAGCGGGGAAAAAATCAGGTAAAGAAGATGACATCATATATTCAACGGCTTCCCGAAAGAGTTATTTAAGTATCAAGTTATCATTGCGGTTAACTTTTAATTATTGCTTTTGAAGTAACGGCATTTGAATAAAGAAAAAGAGAACATTATCATTATATGAATTTTCCTTTTTCCCTGAGACGTCATTATGCTAAAAACAAGCCACATGGACCTCAAATCACATTAAAATCGAATGATCACGGATAACTTAAATTATCATTATCATATATCCATGGAGATAGGAGCCATTTTAATATACGTGGCCTTACATTATCTCCCATTCGAAAGATCTCTGTTCATATGCTCGGGACAAATAAAAAAGGATAAGGATAACTTAAATCACCATGAGAAGATATCCATAAAATTCAAGCAATTATTATGTACGTGAAGTTTTTAATATTTTAATAATACGTGTATAAAATACTGTTGTTTTTAAAAACATTACGTATACATCTAAATCAAATTTCAAATAATAAGAATCATTTGGCCTTTATCCAGAGTCCCTTACTTCTTTGTTTGATACCATTAAAGCAATACCTTCTCAAGTATTCCAATACTATGAATAATCTTAAGTTAACTTCTTAAAGAATTTAAGATAAAATGTTTGGTAACTGATGTAATTATCATTTATTTTGTCAAACGTAATCCTATTACGTCAATGCTAAATCCCTATACCGCAATGCTAGAGATGTGGTTAATATTTGCTAAATATAAAAGAAAAAAAAAGAAAAACATGTGTGCAGTTGAATAATAATGGGGGTTATTTCATAATTCCATGTGAAATCTTCCAACAAAAAAAAATTAAGAAACTCAGTTGTCTATTCCTCCTGTTTTAAATGTGCCGTTAAACTGTTCGGAAAACAATTTCTTTCTTTCATACAAAGTGTTTACTAAATATATTTGGAATGTAAGCCCCTAACATCATTGAGTTTCAAAAAGGTTTTTACACAAAACTTCAGACTGTTTATAATAGCTTTTTCCTTACTATATAATACTATATAAAGGAATGTTGTCAGTGACAAGTTAAAATGAACTGTAAATACTTTATCAGGATACGGATCATAATTATAATTGTATTTTTTTATCAATACGTGTTTAAATCACTGCTTGTAAGATAACGTAACATGTAAACTAAGTGTAAAATGATAAATCTTTATAATTCATTACTTCTCAGTTAGACATACCAATATAATTAAGACAGTCCCTTCCAAAACATTCCAAACCTCATGACGTTGAAATTTAAGCTATCTATTTATTATGTAGGAATTATGAAAGCAAAGGTGAAAGTGAGTTACTAGATGGGGAAAGTTTATAAAATATGTCTCTTCATTGAGGTGTGTAAAATAAGACATGTGATAATTTTCAGGGATAAATCAGTAATCTGCTCAGGGGCATGAATTAAAGGTTATATATCTTCATTATACGTGTCAATTAAATAGATTGATTGATGTATTTAGCGTAAATTCATGTTTCTAACAGTTAATTTAGAATCATGATCTCTATTAACAAAACAAAATTCTGGAAACAAAGTGACCCCTCGGAAGCTTTAATCACAACAAAATAACATAAGAATTGCAGACTCGGTTTAATTGAGTCTGTTTATGCGAGATAATGATTAAGTGCAACATCCCTCACGCCCCCTTGCACCGGCTTGAGCGGTACTCAATTCTGAACACTTTATAGTGTTGGCATCAATGATCCAACCTTGTGAACAAAGATTAATTGCAATGTTTTAATAATTTATCGTAAAATGTTATATACAATGTAATTAAATCAGTTTGCCTTTATTCATAGTTTTTTTTAATTTGCATAATTTAGACAATACCTTCGCAAGCAATTCCATTTTCAGTAAACCCTGCGTCACAGCTGCACCTACCGCCTGAACAAATTGCATTGTTGGTACAGTTATCGTTATGTGTACATGATGAATTAGAAACGTTAGCTATAAAAATAAAAATCGGAATGTACTTATCATATTAAATTGCTTTTATTGTTAACAGCATTAAACGGAATGAATTGAAGTCAGATTTAACTTTTTGCTGACGTTTGGAATTTAAGTTATCTTTGCTTTCCTTAAAACAGGCCTGATTATATCGTAATTGTGAGCGAAAATGAAAATGAGTTGCTACATAAGGAGAATTTTTATACAAAGTCCCTTTATTGAAGATTTAGAAATTAAAATTTGATAATTTTCAGGGATTTCCACCTTAAGCTACCAAATAGTTTATATCTTCATTGAACTTATCAATTACACAAATGGATGTATTCATGTAGCGTAAACTAATGTTTGAAACGATTCATTCAGTAGCATGATCTCTATTTACAAAAGCAAGTCTTGTAAATAAATATTGAAATTATTAAGTGAACAATAGCATTGAGGATATTTCATCATATACCTGTACAAGTTTTTCCATCGCCTGTATAACCCACATTATAACTTTAATCATAACTTTCTTTGAACTTAACACACTTAACTATTTCCTATGTCATAATTATAAATTGTCGTTTAATGCTCATTTCTTTATCCTATTGATACAACTTAAATCAGATCCATTTAAATATTCCTAAACAGTGATACACATAGGAAACATCTCAATTGTGAAAATAATAACCTTCGTAAGATAAACTTTGATTATTAGTATTAAAGCATCAAAATACTATGTCAGACCAACGTTGTTAATATGTTTTAAAATAAATTCAAAATGGAAACACCAAATCTTTGTTTTGGCAAATCTCTGCATTTTTAAAGATTGTAACTGAGTAATAACATGGCTGGTATCTCAACTCATACCTGTACAATTTATTCCATCGCCTGTATAACCCGAGTTACATGCACAAGTAAAACTTCCGTCAGTGTTGTTACAGGTCGCATTAGAATGGCAGTTTTGAGTGTTACTGGTGCATTCATTTATATCTGTGTAAAAATAGCATTATATTTCATATTTCTCCATTAAATATTATTATCGGAATGACTTTGCTCCTCAGATTCTATAGTAATTTTTATCATGTTTTGTAACAAAAACATTACTTTCCACGGACAACCTTTTAATATTAGTTTCTTTTTTTTATCTTTTTGTTGCAGGTTAACTCATATCAATTCTATAAGTGCTGAAAACTGATACATCAAAGAAAACATCTTATATTGTTAATATCATTACCTTCGTACTATAACCTTTGATTATTCGTAATATAGCAACATAATACTTAATCAGACCAGCATTGATTAAATAACTTAACCCATTCCTTTCATGAACATTTTATGAAAAAAATGGCTGTTTTCATTTAAAAGCCACCTGTTACAAGTTCAAATTGCTATAAAAAACTATAAAAAGGCTTCAATACCGTTCAAACTTGTGACAATCGCATACTCAATCTTAAATTTCCTGTTACCATGCAACGATGGGGCATGTCATAATTGCCAAAAATCACTATTTTGCTATTATTTTTTCATCAAAACTGTTTTCAAGTGATTTCAAGTGCTGCAATTTCTAAATGGATTCAGATAAAATCAAAGGCTTTTAGCGTTGGTTATTCTTTACCTTAATGTTGACCTGGGGCCATTTTAGTCTCTCGCAAGTCCAAAATGTTCTTGGAGATGAGGTGGTCTACCGAACCCCTTCAAACCCCTAAACAGAAGAGGGCACATCCCCCGTCTGGTCCCTACTTGATGTATCTATTTGATAGGGGATGACATTTTTAACACCATTTCTCAACGAGTGTTTGGGGTCTAAATAGGGCATTTTGACACTGTTTGAGGCCTCAAAAGAGGGGTCAAAAGGCGTGAACAGACGTCTTTATGAAGTAATGGGCTAAAAGTAAATTAAAAACTTAAAGATCATAACTCTTTTTTGCAAACGCTATTTCTGTCTGTTGAAAAGCTCATAAGTGTTTTAAGCACATCTGTAACTTGAAATTTCGTAGACTGACCAAAGATTTTTTTTAAAAAATTTTTTTTGGTTGTTACGTAAAGTGTTTTTTTCCTCCCCATTTATATGCTTAAAGTTTTTTAAAATTTTACTAAAACAAACACAGTTTTAAAAAAATAAAAATTTTAAAAAAAATCCCAAAAAAGTCCCTTTTGGAAAAAAATAAAGTAATTTTTATTTTTAAAAAGGGTTTAAATTAATTTTATTAAAAAAAAATTATGATATACAATCCGGCTTTTAATCTCCTAAACTTTTAAATTCGCAAAAATTTTATAAAATTACGAAATATTTGCCTTTTTCTTTGTTCATGGTATTTTTTAATTTGCTTTATTTACCCCAATATTCCCCAAACAGCCCTCATTTTCAGTAAACCCTTCCCCCGCGCACCAAACCCGGGCCCCTAAGAAATTCATTGCTGGAAACGGGTTTCCATTAGGGTTACATGTGAAGTGAAACTTTACTACAAAAATAAAGAATCGGAACGTACTTATCAAAAAAAATTTGATAAAACAAAAAAATTTAAAAAGATCATAATTGTGTTTCTTTTAAAATTTTTTTTAAACGGAAATTAAAGGGGAATAAATTGAAGTAATTTTTTATCTTTTCGTAAATTTTGGTATTTAAGTTTGTTTTTTTTTGTTTAAAAAAAAACCCCGTTTTTCAAAATTGGGTTAGCAAAAAAAATAAAATTTTCCATTTTAAAGGAAAATTTTTAAATAAAAAGAAATCCCTTCATTAAAACATTTTTCCAATTAAAAATTTAAAATAATTTTAAGGAAAAATTTTCATTTAAACCCACTAAAAACAAATAAAAAAGGTTATATTTCTTTTCTTACGTGTAAAATTCATTACTTGTTTTAAATGAAACCCGGAAAATCAGGGTTTTCAAAACGTTTTTCTCAGTAGCATGTTTCCCCTTTTTACAAAAGAAATTTCTTGTAAAAAAAAAAATTTTTCTTGGGCAAAAAATCTTTTAAAATTTAAAATAAGTGAACAATAAAAATTATGAAAAATTTCATCGTAAACCTATAAATTTTTTTTCCAAATTGGGCCCGTAAAAACCCATTTTTACATGAAAAAGAAAAATTTTCCGTCAGTTTTGGGTACAGTAAAAAAAATTAATAACAAAAAAGGATATAAAAATTTAAAAACACAAACAAATAATGTAGATATAAAATTCATTTATCTTTACAAAGCTGAAATTTTATGCACAAAATTTTAAAAATTTTTGAAAGAATCTCCGTCATTTTTTAATAAGGGGTTAAGGGACAAAGATTTTTTAAACAAACTGATTTAAAAAATACATCATAAAATTTGGGGGAAATACAAAAAGGGGAATTAACATAAACTTTCACTTATGTAAAATCTAAATTAAATTTTTTTAAAGCCCTTTTACATCCAATTTTAAGGCCAAATTGGGGTTGGTTGCCCTTTTTAAAAATAAAGGGAGGTCAAAAAACCCTGTTTCCCAAATCAATTTTTTTCGGGGTATAAAATTTTGATACAGTTTAAAAACAAAAATAATTTTTATTTTTGGGTTTGGAAAAACGGGATACATCTAAGGCAACATTAAATAGTGTGAAAAATTCATTACGTCGAAAAACATTCCCTTTTATTTATTCCCAAATTATAGCATAAATAAATAAATATTAGACCCAAAGGATTTTGGGTTTTAAAATAATTTAAAACTTTAAGGGTTTATTCTCTTTGTGGCAAATGTTGGCTAAATGTTTTTTTGTTTTTTGGGTTTCCCTTTTTCCCCTTTTTTGAAACTAAAACAATGACATTGTTTGTATTTCAACCCATACCTTTACAAATTTTTTCCATCGCCTTTAAAAACCCAGTTTAAAAAGCCCAAATAAAACTTCCCTTCAGTGTTTTTACAAGGGGCGGGAAATTTTAAAAAAAAGTTGGGGGGTGAAACTGGTGCAATTCGTCTTATCTTTGTAAAAAAACATCATATTTAAATTTTTTTCAAATTTCAAAGTTCTTCTCAAACAATTAATTTGCTGGTAAAGATTCTTTTAATGAATTATTTTCATGTTTTTGCAATATTAACATTTATTTTTTTTCCGACAGCCCTTTGCTATTATCTGTGTCATAAACATGAATTGCCTTTTTAATTGGTGTAAGAAATACTGTTCCCCTTCTGTAACCTTTAATTATATTATGGAAACACAATAAACATTGCAGACGAAACATTTCAAATATGAATGTTGAGAAATTCAAAAACTGTAAAGACCAAAACTCTTTCTTGGCAAATCTTGGCAAAAATGTGTTCTTTAATTTGTAACTGAGGCAATAACATGGTTGGTATTTTCAACTTCATACCTTGTACAATTTATTCCATGCGCCTTAATGAACCCGAGTTTACATGTATGCACAAAGGTAAAAATTTCCCTCCCGTTTTTTTAATGTCGCATTTTGAATTCAGTTTGGGGGGTTTCTATGATTTATTTTTATTGTGTAAAAAAACATAATATTTTCATAAATTTCTCCCCTTCATATTTTTTTCAAAAAATGAATTTGCTCTTCAGAAATTTTAAGTAATTTTAAACATGTTTTGGCCCAAACATTTAAAAAAAAAACTTTCCCCGGACCCCTTACTACTTCCTGTTTAAAAAATTAAAATTTTCGTTTTTAATTTTTCGTTTCTTTTTCTTTTTTTTGGTACATATTAATTTTAAATTTTAAACTTTAAACTGATAACATTAAAGAGAAATCTTTATTGGTAAAAAAATTACCGTTTTACTATAAACCCTTTTTTTTCGTAAATTTTAGCATCAATAATCCCTTTAATCAGAACCAGCGTTGATTAAAATGAAACTTTAACCTATTAGGGTTATGAGCATTTTTGAAGAAAAATGGGCTGTGTTTAATTGAAAATGCTTCTGTTTAAAGTTCAAAAATGGCTAATGAAAAGCTGTGGACGTTTTTTCAGCGTTGGTTATACTTTTACCTTAATCCGGTTTTACTTCATATAGGACCGTGTGTTGACGGCTTTTCGACACCCCCTCTTTTTTGAGGCCCTCAGACAGTGAAAAAAATACTTTTTTAGGCGCCCCAAACACTGTTTTTTTCGGTTTGGGAAAATGTTGTTTTAAAAAAGTGACAACTTTTTTTCTGGCGCCGCCCCCTATATAAAAGGATTAATCAGGGTTTGCCAGAGAGGGGGAATGTGCCCCCTTTGGTTTGGGGGTTTGAAGGGGGGGCGGACAGTCCCCCTCATCGCCAAACAATTTTTGGAAATGTGGGGAGGCCCAAAAAAGACCCAGGTGAACCCTAAGAAAAAATTGTAAAACCCAAAGCTAAAAGCCTTTGGGCTCTAAACTCAAACCAAATTTAAAGTTTCAAAAGGGAAATTTTTAAATCAAATTTTAAAGGAAAAAAACAACGCAAAAAATGGGTTTTTTTTCCCAATTTTTAGATGTTCCCCCGTTTCCAATTTGGGAACAAAAAAATTTAAAAACTGAGGGATGTCGTTACAAAGGGCAATGGTCCAGTCAAATTTTTGCCAAGTTTGATTAGTATTGAAACATTTTTTTATAGTTTCATAGGGAAGGGTTTGGAAAATTGTAATGAAGGCTATTTAAAAAAAAAAGGCCCTTTTAAAAAAAAATGGGTCATTTTGGGGAAAAAGGGGGTTAAGGTCAACTTTGGGGGATTTTTTCGCCTCTCACAAGTTCCCAAAAAGTTCTTGGAGATGAGGGGGTTTTACCCCACCCCCCCCTTTTTAAACCCCCCCAAAAAGGGGGCAAAATCCCCCCTGGCACCCCCTTGATGTATCAATTTGGGTAGGGGGTGGGGCCCCAAAATGTGACACTATTTTTAAAAAACCATTTTTTTCAAAAGAAAACAAGTGGTTTTTTGGGGGGGCTTTAGGGCAAAATTTTTTCCCCATTTTTAAGGCCCCAAGAGGGGGGGGGGGGGAAAGGGGATGAAAAAACGTCTACATGAAGTTTAAAGAAATTAAAAAAAAATTAAAAACGTA